TTAGTTAAACACAACAACTTCGACACGTTAAAAGATCGAACCATAATAACCAAAAGTAAAGGTTTTTTCGCAAAACAGAAAATATTTTTCGATCTTCGATTTCCATTGAAATTTATAGTCAGTAAACTAGATTGTTTCACCTTCGAGTTCACTATAGAAACATTCTGATTTAACATTGAATGGGATTCCCTGTTATCCATACTAGTTGAGGTGAAAAGTGGTTCAGAGGCGAGTTTAATGATATTATAATGTTGATGTTAATTCCTAATTTGAGCAAGCAAAGTAAAATATTATTTAATATTTGAACAGGAAGAGAACAGGGAAAATGGAAAGCTGTTCAATATTAAAATTGTGATGTTGATTAAAGTTAATGATGATGGAATTCACGTGATTCCTTTTACAAGCACACTTGCAGTGAACGAAAGAAAGGTCATAATGGCTGTGAAGTTGACCAGTGAAAATTAAAAGTGAATATGTGATGATAATAATGGATGAAAAGTTGAAAAAAAAGTTAACCTCAAGAGGAGAAAATATTGTTCAATGTTTATATTTCTTATTTTTATTAAACTCAACACTGTTGTTAATGATAATAAAAATAATACCAAAAGTGATAACAATAATAACAGGGAGTGAAAGACAGGGAATGGAGATAAAAAACTTTTCTTTCTTTTTCTATGTTTTCTTGTTCTTTCCTTAAAGAAACAATGTGACTTGAATAATGATCAACAACTCATCATCAGGGTAAAGCTAAATTGAAGGTTTCAACTTGCGCCAGTTTCCATCATAATCGAGTGCCCAAGGTAAATTGATATATTAAAATAGCAAATAAAACATTTCGAACTTTACTCCTTTCGATTCCGGTTTAAGATTTCAAATTTTAACTCAATTTTAATCTTGAATTTCAGTCAGGAAAATCAGTTTAACAATAGCTTCCAAACATGACTAATGACGGAATTGAGTGTTTTATGAATCAACAAAACATTAAACTTGGCTTTAAACGGATTTGTCAACATTGCTTGAGGTTATTTGAGCGAACAAAAAATCTATTAATAATTAAATAATTGCACAATTAGCTACGAATTATTCAGATTTTTGCACTTAGTTTTGGAATTTTTCATGTAAATTAAAACTAATTCTGTTCTCATTCATGTAATATCATGTTTTAATGAAATAATCACTTGGAATGCAAAAATATGGAAAATTACTTTTAATCTGTTTAATGTTTGTACTTATTTTAGTTCAACTTTTTCGTTGAAAACGGATTTAATCAAGAAAATTGAATAATTGTGAACAATTTGAGGAAAATTAGGAATTAGTTAATTGAAAATCACATTGTTTTCCCATCAACCTTAATTGAAGAGATTCTCTTTGGAAAATTGCTTTTTCTGTCTAAAAATTTAATTAATTCAAGTTTATCCAATTTCGCTTGCAAGATAATCTCCAAGAGTTTCATCATTACCAACACTTAACGTTGCAATCCATTCAACTCATGATACAGTCAATTATAATCATTATTTTCATCGATTAGCCAAACAATTGTCAAAGCAATTTCATGTAATTGGTGAAACTGGTTCGAATAAATTCATCAATTGAATGTCCATCTCAACACTTAGCTTGCAGCACTTCAGTCAAACAGATTCGATGAACGATTCAAGTCTTGAGTCATCGAAGTTTTGCCGAAATTTAAACTCTGTTTCTGTACATAAAAAGCTGTGATTAAATCAGTGTGAAAATGAATTTTCAGGTTATTCTAAGTGTATAATGATGAAAAGTGTATTAAATTGATAGAGTAAGGAGTGAAAACAAAAAAACTGTAAACAGTTAAAGGATCAGAAAAGGCGAAAAGACAAAGTTATCATTACATTAACCTGTGATAAAAACCTGAACTGAATGCTAAAATAAGCATGAAAAAAGTTAATATTATTTTTGAAAAGAAACTCTCTTTGGCCTTCGTTTTCTTCACTTCTTTTCACAAGCTTTTCAAATGATAAACCATTTGGAAATGAGAGTTGAACAAAATGAATGGTGAAAAGAGAGAGACACTGAAATATCTAATGATAAAATAGGATAAAGATGTTGAAAGGAAGAAGGAAAAGTAGGAAAAATGATGAAAAGTTGAGAATCCAATGAATAACATGAACAAAATGAAGATGTATTTGTTCATGGAAAAGTGTACTCCATCAGAATTTGACTTTTTTCACTTTCCCTTTAACCTCTCGTTTTCCGCTTCAAATATTAAAAATGTTCAAAGCCCTGTAACGGGACAATTTCATTTCAAATTATGCCTTTTCCTTTTCTCTTCAAACGGACAAAGAAAATGTTCAATGGACAATATTCCAATACTCAATAAACTTATGCAATTTCTGTTCTAATCATGAAACAGATGAATAATATTGTTGAGATGAAATTCCATTCGAATGAATAGAGATCAAAAAGGAAACAAACTTACATTATTTCCAAGCTTCACTTCAATTTAATCATTCTGTCCTCAATATTTCATAATGAATTCATATTCATACAGATAAATTCATTCGTCCTTCTTGAATTGAGAAATTATTCCAACTTCGATCCAAAAGGTTCGTGTTCAATGGAAAATTTTGAGGTAAAAATTGTAAAAAGTTAACAAATGTTCTTGTTCTTGAGCGAACGAAAAATTATTCCCATGCAACGAATGTCAAAAGTTTTGAATTTTTACGGTAAATGCGTTAAAGTAGATCCAACAAGTGTGCAAAATCGAAGAGCTTTGAAAAAGAAAGTTTATTTCGAGACATTTTCTGCAGTTTTGTGAAGCAAACGTTTTTTGACGACAAAATGCATTTCTAAATGAGGTTTCAACTCACAAATTACTGTTACTTTAAAAGTTGTCGAATTTTTGTCTCAATAAAAGCGAAATCAATGGCTGGAAAAACACTTTAACCTTGAATGATAACATCATTTTGTATCATTATGAAACGGAAAAGATGATAATCTTGAAATGTGACTTTTCTCTCAGTGATTTGCTCTTTGAATCTGAAACAATCGTTCAATAGTTTTGTTTGTTCATAATTGTCTTATGAGTCTCTTGGCTACCATCAAAACGATTCAACATCATTCCAAATCTATAACAATAACACTAGAAATTTTAATGCAATAAAATTTAGTGACAATTGTAACATAATCATGAGTAGAAACAAAACACTTAGAATCCAGTAAATGATCGCTTTGGACACTTATCCTCATCTCCAACCATTAACAGGTCAACATTAGAAGTCGAAAAAAGAAACGAATCGAAAAAAAGATACAAAACTCAAAATGATACAAATGACTATTCGAGTTTAAAACAAGTGCGACTTTCAAAGTTATACAAACAATTGAATAACAACATTATCACGAGGATCAACAATTGAACAATTGATTAACTCGACAAATCGTTTCATCTAAGTAACCATTAAATGCAATTTGTAGACCAACAAAGTTTGGAGAAAAAAAAATTCACCTTTTCTCATAATCTTTCAATACAATTATTATTATGGCGTAAAAATTGGTATGAAACTTTTCCCTTTCAAGGTAATACAAAATGAAAGGGAAAATAACTTTACATGATGATAAGTATGATGTATGGATTTGGTTATATTGTTTGGGTATAAAGTTAATAACAATAATGATAATGATGATGATAGTTATATTCATTGTGTCAGAGAGAGAAGCCATTGAAAAGTCAAGTGAACTTTTTTCCTCTTTTTTTATGTTGAAGCAAAAATGTTACATCAACCATGGAAACATGAAACTCATGACTAGGTTTACCTTAAATTTCTGTTTCTCCTTCTCCTGTTAATACTTTGGTTTATTAGTCAAGCGTATTAAATCCAACCTAATGCTGTGCATTGAGTAAGCTACGAAATGAGGTAAAGTGAACAAAGAATGAAAAAAGTTGGAAAAAAATGTTTAACTAAATTTTAAAAACTGTCCAAATGAATATTGAAGTTGAGCAGTTCGATTAATATCTTTGCTTTTTTGGTGAAGAGTTGATTGGAAGCTTTGGAAGCTTTGGAAGGAGAGAAAAAAGTTTTTTGCATTCAAATGTTGTTTTTATTCACTCCCAGTGAGAATTGACGAAGTAAATGAAACTTTTTGTTTTTGAATAAAAAATAATTCAACAGTTTTTTCTTCTCTCTTCTGTTATCATGGATTTGGAAGAAGAGATAATTGAAATTTTGTTTATACTTTAAATCCATTTTGATTGAAAATCAATTTCGAAAGTAATTTTCTTTCATTGCTCAGTTTATTTGCCATAAATTTGTGGATTACTTTAGTTGCTGTGAACACAGCAAAGGGAATGTTTTTGCATGAAATATTATCTGTTCAACAATTAACAGGATCAATAATGGCATTTGAATAGTGAAAATTGGTCGCCATTATTGGATTAATATCACGCAATTCAGAGAATGGTAACTGTTATTATCAACACAAAGTTGATTATTATCATTAATATCATCACCATTATTCAATAAAAAGAGGAAAATATAATAATTTTCACTCCCAATCCTTTTTTTCCGTTGAAAGAACAACAAGGCTTGATGATGATACAAAAAATCAAATAAATTGATCAACTTTTAATTGTCTAATTTCTCCTAATGAATATATCAACATAAAGGTTTCATAAAAAATCACATATCATTATAAAAGTTAATCATTAGGCTAGCTTCAACATCAAATGTTAAGGCGAGTAAATTTTTCAAGTTTTTGTCTTTACTCAAAAAGTCGATAATTTTTCTCTGTTTGGAGATTGAATTACGATCTGAACTCGATCCTCAATGAGATACAATTCACAATGCTTTTCTGTTCGCTAGTCAGTCGTGGGCGATGCAAAAATAAATCATCTTTCATGATATAGATAATGAAGTGTCTAATCTCATTGATGAATCAAGTGACGAGTTTCATTTTTCGACTAATGGATAACTGTTTTACAAGAAATCGATTGAAATGAGGAATCGAAAAATTGAAGTTCGAAATGGACTTACCATTTTCTTCACATTTTCCTTTGTATTGGACGGTTAAAGGTGTTTGTAGGTTACATGAGGTAAAGTTGAGTTGACATTGATTGGAATAAGTTTTGTTGTCATTCGCACAGATTGGATCGAAAGGAGTTGAATCACACTGAAAAGTATCACAGCGACAAATTGATGCGATGTTATCGGAATAGCTATCAGGACTACAATAACCTCCAAAGGCACAGGAACAAATTCCTGTTTACAAAAGAAGAAGAAATTAAAGAAAAAGGAAAAATATTGAAATTAATGCTCAGCAAGGTAATGGTCCACAAATTGGAGTTTCACCCAAAATCCAAGTTGACTAGCGATTCACAAGTGAAACTATTAGATTAAACAGTGTTACCCTTAAGGGCTACATAATCATGTTGTGGTTTGTTTGTCACTGAAAATATACAAACCAATAAATGTAAAGGTTACCTTAAGGCTATTATTTTATTTGGATAATGTTATTAATTTTATTCTGTACAGTTTCAACCTTGATTTGACCTCATTCCAAGTTGAACATTTTCTCATGTTTGGGACAGAATTGTGGATTAAATATTTGCTTCACTTTCCAACAACTGTCTGAAAGTCACAATCCAAATCAACTGATTGCCGAATAATTGTAAATACGAAGGAAATCGATTCAATGTTTCCTTTCGAGTAAAGAAGAAGAAAAATTTTCTAAGTTGGTCAGATTCCAAGTATTTCTTCTATTGCTTCAGACACTCGAATGGCAGCTTTCATCATGTTATTTGATAGAATTATGAAATTTTCTCTTTCATTTCACCACATTTTGTAACTTTTCCATGTGTTATTTGCAATATCAAACCGGAACTTTTGGTTGCAAATGTCACTTGTGATAGTTAAGATGTTTCTTGATACCAAAAAGTAAACATGAAATGCTATTCGACCACTCAAGTCGAGCTACAAAACCAGAATCTTTATTTGTGTTTCAACTTAAAACTTTGAACATAAAATTGCTAAAACTCGACACTTTCCTCTAAAACTATTTGAACCTTTCATTAAAATGACAGATTATTCAATATTTGATATTCGAATCTCAATTGTTTCGTAAAGAATTACTTATCCATCGTGAAAATTAGCGTTGAATGGTAAATCTATTTGATGATTGTCTCAATTAACTGAGAATGAAGTATTTCTGTATTTTATCATCACAAATAATCGGTGACTTTCATTACTCTTCTTTTCCTCAACCTTACTGTCTTGTTCATTCCCACAGATTCATCAATGTTTTCTTGAGTTTCTCGTTTATCTAGTTATTTATTAGCTACAAATCATCAGATTCTGTTCAGTTGTAGGAAGCAAAGCAAATGGCAATTATGCTAAGCTGAGACCAGTAAGTAGCTGACTAAGCAAATTAAAGCTAATCAATTGGACATCTTATACATTGGACTTGTCATTAAGAGGATTATCACTGATCACTAACTAGCATTTTATACTCCGATTGACAATTTTGATTCGATGATTAATCGCAAAGAAAATTGTAACAAGCGAAATCGATCATCGACACAAATGGGTAAATGAAAGATTTACAGTGAAAGTCAGCCCAACATCAACTTAGATTATTGGAAATCAATGCTTGATTCGCTTTTAAAGTCTAACTAATTGATTACATGATTAATAAACATTGTTGACGATAATTCGATTAATTTCTGTGTTTTACAAAACTTCTGGATATAGAATGGAATTGAGAGGAAAATATCAATTGGAAGCATCTAATTCAATCAATTATGAACCGTGTTTCTCCTGACTCTATGTAAATAGATGTTTAAGTATCATCATGAAAGTTGATGAAATTATTTTATATCAAATGGTTTTGGTTTGAGAAAAAATACATTTTTATTCATACCTTCGTATGATGATAAACTTTTTTGAAATGGAAGATCTGATAAATCCATTGATCCATGGTTGTGATGAACATGATGGAATGGAGCAAGGATTGGGAAGAAAAAGATATAATCAAAAAATGATAATTAATGGAAATGCATCTACAATAATCAACTATTTATTGCAATGTTTTTTATTTTCGTTCACAGATATTAATGACTCCATGAATGGAACATAAATTGCAATATTAATAACATTTATCAACAGACTTTCAAAGACAATCTCTGGGTTTCCATCTCCAATGTTCATGGGATTCATTTATATATCATAAATTAAACTTTTGTTAAAATCAAAGTTGCTTATAACTTTATCATACTATAATTAGGATAATTTAAGTAATTATCTGAAATTCAAAGGTGATTTTATTAGCATTTGTTATTATCTGCTGAGAGAAAATTCAATGTTATTCTTTGTGAAAATTAATAGAAAAAGTAAATGAAAAAGAACAAAATTTCGAAAAAAACTTGCATTCGATTTTCTTTTACACTTCAACACTTAAAAATCAAATGCCGTTCATTTTGTGTATTTTGATGACTTTCAAGTGCAAACAACTCAGCATTACAGGTCGCAACAGGCAATACTTTCACATGTTTACATACTTTTCAGCTAAAATCAGACAAAATCAATCTCAAAAATCTTTCAAGTTGTAAAGCTTTTCCCGAATTTCAAACAAACCGAGCTGAAACAACCGATATGAGACTGGAAAACCCATAAAAATAACAAACACAGCACACAAAAACACAGCAACAATTCATCAATGAAAATCTTTCGTTTAAAGATTTTTCACTCAATTCTCAACTCTCATTCATCAAGCGAGCTTTTCGAAAATACACTTTTAAATCAAATTTTCAGAGATGTTTAATGGATCAAATATCAATATTAATCAAATATAGCAAAAGCTCAAGGAAAATGACAGATTTAAGGTTTTAAAGGTCTAATAATGTGGGTAATGTTCATCAGTTAGAGGTGTCGAGTAAACTAGAAAATTTCTTTGGTTGCCCCTGCGAATGTGACGAATAAATGCAGCATAGCACTTGAATATAATAAATATCTGTTATCCTCCTCAGTACACCACCGAACTGCCAAAGTGTTTCATTGGCAAGTACTTTAAAATTTGATATAGTAATTGCTCTATCAGTAAGATCATCATCCAGCCATCCATTATAAGTATCCGAAACGTAAAACGTAAAGTTAAAAGATATGTCATTTTGAACTACAAGTACGGGAGGTTTTTTTCATTTTACGACTGTTTAAAAGCATAGCTCAGAACGGTTAGTGCTATAGAATTCAGACTTGAAACATCAGCTTTCACAGAACAGCCATAGACTCGGAGGTCATTCAAGGTCATTCCGTTTTGTGACTCCTAATTGACATTTGAAGGTCATTTTCTCAGAGTACAAAATTTTTCTGATCGGCCAATGTTTGTAAACTGTCCATAATTCATGGTGACTTTAGGATATACGTGTTTATTCACCAGCCAATGAAGCAATTAGTTTTGAGAAAAATTCGGTCATCTTTCATATGGTGAGAGTAATGAATATGTGATTAACACTAACCGATCAGAAATGAACTTCAAATGTCAATTATAGGTCAAATAACGGAATGACCTTGAGTGTTCGAGTTTATGATTTTTCAATCTGCGAAAGCTCATGGTTCAAGTCTGAGGTTGGCTAACTAACTGAGGCACTAACGTTCGTGAGTCTTGCTTGCAAACAGGCGTAAAATGAAAAAAAACACATGGTATAAGTCAATTGATAAGGACAAATGTAATGTTCAAGTTGTAAGCTTTTCACGAATTTCAAACAATTACCAATTTTCGATAATGTTTAAAATATTGAAATTTAAAATCAAATGAATACATTCTAATGATATTTTCATCCCAAGCAATTAGAAATGATGTTTTCTTGCTATTTTCTGAAAAACAAAGAAACTCAATTCGAAACTCAAACAAACTTTAAACTGAATTTTGTCCTTTCTATTTAGGTAAAATGATTCGATTAGACTTCTGCTTTAATGACATTATTCCATGAAGAGAGAGATTACATTCATCATTATCGAAATGCACCTTAACCGAAAAAGATCAATCTCGGAATCTTTGTCTTCTATTTCATTTTGAAACAAATACAATTTTCTTATGAATCATTAATTTTGCATATAAGATCATGGAATCAAAATCAATTCAAGATCAATTGATGATCGATCAAGTAACCAAAGTTACATTGAATGTAAATCCAACAGTCTTAATGATTCTGTTTTCATGATTACGATTATTCATTGCTCTCTATCTTCACACCTCAAATGCTCGACACAAAACTCACACTTGCAGTGAATTCATTTGACTCTGAAAGTTATGAAAAGTTGATTGGATTGACCAAATATGATCTTTACTCGAATGTGAATTTGCAAAGAGAAATATGAACATTGAAAAAATGAATTTTGGCCAAAGTTCGTAATCACATTAATTGGAAATAATGAAATGTAACATGAATTTCATTAAATGTTGTACTTTTATCTTTTCACCGCTTCATTCATGAAAAGATATTTGACTGATAACTCATTAGGAAATGTTTAAGGTTTTGTCAAGGTTTATTCCCTTGAATAAATTTTAACCCAATTAACACATTAACAACTAATAACCTTAACATTCACGTTTCTCATTCAAACATTATCATTATTTATATGAAAATGGCAATGTTATTGTACAATAAGTGATATCAGTTTATAAGTCAACTGTAAATGTGTCAACCTAATTAGACTTGGTTTACCCTTGAGTTATTAATTAGCACAGGTTAACAATATATGCAATCCTCATTAGAACGGTTAGTTGTTTAATTTTTGCCTTAATTTCTTTACACTTGCAATGTTTGATTATAATTAAGAAACAAGTAATGAGTAAAGAGCCATTAATCAGCATCAAGAAGCGATGAAATTTTTTCACTTTTGGTCAATGGTCAATCCATTTCATTGAACCAAGAATTTCAATCAATTTCAAAGATTGAAGAAGAAAAATACTTTTCATTGAAAGTTTCAATATTTGTAAACGGATCAAGTCGATGTAATCACAGGTGAAGAGAAATGTTTATAAAAATGTAATTGACAAAAGGGTTAAATGAAATGTAATTGTTTTTAAATTTTCTTTTTTTCCATCAACTTTTCAAGATTACTCAAGATTGTCTCATGTGGCTTCATTCTGCTGATTTGATGTAAAACTCGAAGTTTCTTTTTTCTGTTTTTTTTTGAGTTTCTGTTTTCCCTGTTTTCAATTCAACTTGTTATCATCTTGTTATCAAATGATTTTCAAAGCTCATCAACCGTCACATTAAGGTGAATATCACGGTATCAATTAGGGACGGAATTTCATTCTAGCATCTTAATTAGTAGCCAAGTTTTGTTTTCCTAAACATTTTACTATTTTCCCTGAAATCTTATGAACTATTATCATCATTTCCATCAAATATCTTCTCGATTCCGTGAAAAGCAAAAGGATATTTTTCATTTTTACACTCCTATTTCCTATTTCCTTTTCCTGTCTCCTTTTCAATCAAATTGCAACCAACCAAAAGACTCATTTAATACATTCCTGTAGACTCATTTTGTCTTGCACAGAACACAATTTATAAAGATAAACTTGGATTTTCCTGGTCATCATCTTCCATCATCTTTCATCTTCGCCCATCATTTCAATATCAACTCTTTGCTAATAAAAATTGAAACTTCATTCCAAATGTAAGATAATATCATTAGTCCACTAATATCAATTTAAGTTGATTAATGAAGCATCTCAAGTGATTCAACTTTTAGTCAACATTTATTTACTCAATAAGGAGTATGGGTAAAAATTCTGACTTTCGAGTTAAGAGTTCAAACTTTGTGAGTTTGTAGGCCCATAAAAACTGAGTACATTAGTGACATTAAAAATTTTCTCCGATCGACCGTTTTCGAGAAAATCGAGGTCAAAGTGCAAACTTCGATCGCCTTTTTTTCGATTATGGGACAAGATTTTTTCACGAAACTTATTTTCCGGAAGTATCTTTTGATGGCTAAACAGAAAATGCAATTATTTTGGCAAATAAAATTTTCTGTTTCTGTGCAACAGATACCTTCGATATCACTTCGATTTTCCGTTAAACCTCCGCCATTCTGTGACCATAATAGCTAGAGATCTGAAACTTAGTATTTGTCCATAAAAGTTGTTAGGTAATAGCATCGATCGAAAACTTTTTTCAATTTATCAACAGTTTTCTTGATTTTGGACATTGACCTGAAAAGTTTGAACCCCGATATCTCGAAAATGGTGATATCCACAATCATCATTCTTCGTTTAATCATTAGATTTTATCAAGAGCTATAATATAGGTTGACTAAATATATAAAAAATTCAAGTTTGCTTATTTATTCATGAGTATACTTGTAGCGCATCATAAGCATAATCATTCAACTCAATATACGAAATACAAAATCTGACAACACAAGCTGGAACTTTCTTTGTATAACTTTTAATGATTACAAAAGTCTATTTTACTATAGTTCTTGATAAAATCTAATGACTAAACGAAGAATGAT